TTTAAATTATATGCTATTTCTTTTAATTGTTAAATATTACATATAATATTAATAATTCTAAAACAAACAAACAAAACAAAATGTAAAAAATATTTATTTTTTAAAAAATAATTAACGATAGAATAGCGATGAATTGTAAAAAAAATTCCATGCTTATAGCGACGAATTTTGATGACATTTAGTGATAAAATAGTGACGGTTTAGCAATGTCTCCACTCGGCTTTGGATATTAGCGATGACATGTCGGTCGTTAATCAACGAAGGATTAGCAATGCTAGACTTGATGGTTCTCGATGACTAATCTAGCAACAAATTGTTTAACTATAGCGATGGATTTTCCATCGCGAATATAGCAATGGAATGTATTTTGCCATCGTTAATTTTAGCGAATAGCGTTTTAGTGACATAAATATTTTCCGTTGCTATGCCATTCCTAGGCTAATTAAGCGATGGGTATTAGCTAATTAGCGATGAAATAATTCATCATTAATTGTATGTTTTCTTATAGTGCCACTTTATGATTCGAGCATAATTGATTTCTTTTGTGTTCTACTTTTTATCCATACATTTTGCTTCTTTTATAGGCTTCTATATCACTTTTTTTAATTAAAAAAAATCAAAATTTTGGATAGGATTTTAAGTTATGTGGTGTTTTTCAACCCGAATTTAGCGGATCTAGATTGATTTGCTTTGTGTTTGTGTTATAAATCATTACACACTATTGTTAATTTATTTATGGTTTCTACTTTGGCTTCAAGTTTTGGTGTGATTATTAATTTATGAGGTGAGTCCATGCATAATTCTTGTTTGTTTTAGTTTTTTTTTATTATTATTTTTATAGCGATGTGTATTTGAGAATTGTGTCTCTTGTATGTATGGTATCAACCATGTTTGTAATGATGTTGGTGTTAGTTAGATATCTAGTAAGGGATTAAGAGAGTAGAGGGTTAGCCTTATTGTTTTACCCAAGATGCATAATTAAATTAAAGGATGATGTGTTGTTAAAAAGAGTGATACGTTCATTGATTTCAACTAGCAAATCATTAAGGGGTCCATAGATCTTTTAAGTTACTAGGCCATGATTAAACTAGTTTGTGTGTTTTCCGAGAGTTAAAAGCGAGTAATGCCGGTAATGAACAAATGGTAAAGGCTTCCAAATTAGGAAATTTTGAACAAGTGCATGGAGCTAGCTTTTATGCTTTGGCTATACATTTTTATATATTAAAAACTTTAACTTTCACTAATTTATCCTTTGTGTAAATGTTATAACTCTGAAGAAATTATGAGTTCAAGTAATGAATTACCAAGTGTAGCTCAAACAAACACACATGATGATAGGGGAATAAAGAGAAGACCAATGAAGCTAAGATCAATTATGTGGGATCATTTCACTAAGTTTGAAGATGCAAATAAGGAAATCAAAGGAAGATGCAATTATTATGATAAGGTACTTACCATTTATCGTATAAAAAAATTTCACTACCGCACTTAAGTCTCATATGACTATATGTAAAAAAACCCTATAATATTGAGACTTCATAAACTTAATTAAACCTTCACTCAAATGCTTAAGGAGAGAGCACTTTTAGCACATGAAAGTTTAATCAAAATGCTACTAGAAATGTTTTAGCTTATATGATCATTCTAGATGAACTTCCATTTAAATTTATGGAGGGTATGTGATTTCAAAAGTTTATGTCCATTGCATTACCTAGATTTAAAATTCTATCTTGGTTTACGATTTCAAGAGATTGCTATCAACTTTTTTTAAATAAGAGATTAATATTAAAGTAATTCTTGAAAATGAATTCTTAAAGAGTTTGTCCGATTACGAACACATAGACATCTATTCAAAGAATCAATTATATTTATGTAATGACGCACTTAATTGATAATGATTGAAATTTATATAAAAAGATCTTGAATTTTTATTCGGTTGATAGTCATAAGGGAATAGATTTAGACAATGCCATTGAGAAGTGCTTAATTGATTGAGACATTGAAAAGGTTTTTACTATTATGATTGATAATGTAAGTTCGAATGATATGACAATTAGAAACTTAAAAGATATTATTAAGAATTAGGATCATAGTATATTAGATAGGAAATTCCTTCATATGAGGTGTGTGGCACATATTTTAAATCTTGTTGTTGTTAATGGGCTAAAACATGTTAATCCTTCTATCCTTCATGTTCGACCAGCTAGTGAGGTATATGAGACAATCGCTAACTAGGTTTAAAAAATTTAAGGAATGCATTGAGATTGAAAAGATTGATTATAAGAGTTTGTTATGTCTAGATATTGTAACTAGGTGGAATTCAACATATTTGATGTTAGATACGATTCAAAAATTAAAGAGAGCTTTTAAAAAATATGAGCAAATTGATCTTTTATATAGATATGAACTTGATGTAGATCATGATGAAGGTGTATTTGGATTGCCTAATGTCAATGATTGGATGGCTTGTAGGAAGATGGTGACCATATTGAAACCCTTTTATGACCTTACTTTGCTTGTTTCGAGTTCTTTGTATGTCACTTCTAATGCTTTCTTTGAAGAGATTTGTGTGGTTAAATATGTTTTGAGAAAATGACAACAAACTTCCAATGTCAATGATTGTTTAATAGGGACATGAATGAAAGAAAAGTTTGATAAATATTAGGGAAACGTTAAGAAAATGAACAAGTTGATTTATATTGCAACAATTCTTGATCCTAGGCATAAATTTCAATTTGTTCAATTTTTTTTTCGAGTGAATTGTATGGTGAATTGACTAGTGAAATGATGACAAATCTTATGAGAGAATTTATATATGCCATGTATTATTCATATTGTTGTTCAACAAGACCTAATATTGACCAAAGTAGTGGGAGAATGGAAGATGTAAATGAAGCAATGGTTAAAAAAGGGCCAATGGGTGTAGTTTGTGAGATGAAATTAAAATATAAAAAAAAATACAAGATTGATGTTAAGGGTGGAGAAAATAAATCAAAGTTGGATAGGTATCTTGATGAAACTATCAAAAAAGAGGATAAAGATTTTAATATTTTGACGTGGTGGAAAAACAATTATGCTCGAGTTCCCATTCTTTCTTAAATGGCTCATGATGTGCTGACGGTTCCAATATCAACTATTGCTTCAGAATCTTCATTTAATACTTGAGGAAAATTTCTCGATTCTTTTAGGATTTTTTTAACTCTTAAAATTGTGCAATCTCTTATGTGTGCTTAAGGTTGGCTTTGAAATTCATTAACACCAATTAATGTTGAAAGAGATTTGCAAGATCTTGACAAAATAGAAGCAAGTAATTTTATTAACTCTATCTTTTTATTTGTCATTTTTTATTTATTTGCGATGTTTAATATTTAATAATGTTAAAGTGTTGATTTATTTTTTACCTTTTATTTTTCAGATATAGCAACACTTTCTATGGAACCAACTATGATAAATATATGATGGATTAATGGTGTTTTGGCCTTTTGGATGACATGGGTAAGTTTTTAATTTTTATTTGCTTGATATATTAATTTTTCCAACTTGAATATTTTGATAGATTATTTGAGTTAATGGGTGTTTTTTTTTTAGGGAATGCCAAGATTTGGAAGTTAATGTATGTATTTATTATGGTTTAAGGATGCTTAATGGATTGTATTTTAAATTTTTAATTATGGAGATTGTCTATGGATTGTATTTTAATTATGGATTTTGGTTTGTTGATTGAATTTTAATTATGGATGATGTTTGGATATTGGTTTATGGATTGTATTTTAATTATGAATGTTGGTTTATGAATTGAATTTTAATTATGGGCGATGTTTGGATATTGGTTTATTGATTGTATTTTAATTATGTGTGATGCTTGGATTTTGGTTTATGGATTGTATTTTAATTATGGATGTTGGTTGATGGATTAAATTTTAATTATGGATGGTGCTTGGATGTTGGTTTATGGATTGAATTTTAATTATGGATGATGTTTGGATATTGGTTTATGGATTGTATTTTAAAATAGGGCCCAAGTCATAGCCTTCGAGGATGGTTCAAGAGAAAAATTCGGGAGAAGAAGAAGAAGAAATTGATTTTTAATCGAAAATTGAAAAACCAAATTGAAATTTTTGGTTTTTAATCGAAAATCAAACCTAAATTCGGTTCAATTTTAGTTTTTTAAGAGGATTCGATTAACTAAAAAAAAAAATCAAAACCGAACTGAAAAATCGAATGATCACTCCTACTTATCATTTTATCATTTTGCAAGTATAATAGTTTGCTAATGCCCGGCCATTATTTATTATTTATTTACCTTAGGCTAAATTACTTAGCAAGACAATACATGTTAGTAATTGTTAATATTTGAGGTTAATGGTTAGAAGAGTCTTCTATTCTTTCTTTCGTCTTTATCATATCTTTTTATTGTTTTCCATCTTAAATTTGTCTTGCTATATTTGATTTCTATCTTAAGTTCGTCTTTATGTTAACTTTTTGGACTAATAGTGTTAATCGCACTCGTTAGTCCTATAGGATTGCGACATGTGTCCATCTTATTTTTATTTTTCAATTTTTTTTTAATTTGACTCTAAAAATACAAAAAATATTTCATTTTATACTCAAAATTTATTTACTATTTTCCAGATAAATTTAAATCCATAAAAAATATTTCAATTTTAATTATTTTTTAATTATTTAATTATTTATTTATTATTTTCACTAAAAAAGGCAAGAGAAGAGATTAAGATGGAGAACTATTCATGTAATTTAACTCCATTAGCTAGAAAAGTTAAAAGAAAGATAAACTTAAAAATAAAAAATAACCTGAAGGAAGGGACTTAAGACGAAAAAAAAGTAAAGTAAGAGGATCAAGAAGAAAAATATTTCCCTCGTACTTGACAACATGATTCGTTCACAGCACCCCCACCAACTTTACGCTTCCTCTTCAGACGAAGACGCACGCATCTTTATCTTTATTTTGTTGCTTTCTAGAAGAGAAAGAGAAAAGAGAGATGGAAAGAAAAACCCTAGTGCTATGTAGTGTTGTGGGTCTGTTGGGGCTAGTTTCAGCCGCTACAGGTTTTGGTGCAGAAGCTACAAGGATTAAGGTAAAATGAGTTTTTCCTTTTAAAAAATTTTCATTTCAAATGGAAATCACTCTTTACCCTGCGCTTCATCATCCTTTATCATGCTCTTATTTGAACTTACTTTTACTTCTGTTTGGGTACCAAAAACAAATCCCTCTTAATCCTACTATTATGACTCCTGCTGGGATTGTGTTGTTTATGTCTATTTATATTTATACATTCAAGTAACAGTGTTTATATATATATATATTAGCTTGGCCTTATGGAATTTATGTTCCTTTTGAATTGCTTCAAACTGTGAAGTTGGATTTATTATTATTATAATTATTATGGGTGATTTTATATTGAGAACTTCTGTCAATACTGAAGTTGCTTGTAAACTCCTTTTAGAAATTTATTATTTTTCCCCTTTTCTATTTTCAAAACCATGTGTTTTTTTCTATCTTTCTACTATGAGTGAATACCAGACAAATTCTACCAACATTTGCTTATAATTTTATTTTATTCTGCTTATTATTATTACTCTTTTATAATAAGATAACAAATAAGTCTTTACACCTCTTTTCCTAACAACAACAATTTTTTGTGATTATGGCAATGAATCTTCGTCTGTTCTCAATCGTATTGGGCGTTTTTTAATGCAAGTTTTCATTCAAAATCAGCTACGGGAAGGGCACAATTTTTTTGTTTGTCGGCCTCCGACAGTGCCTTGTTGGTTTTTTGCTTTTGGCGCCCTATCCTCAAGGGTAAGGGTTTATGTAAAAGAAGAAGGAGACGCGCTTATTCAAATATTTGACTAACTCATTATGTTACTCTCTTTGTTTTACACAATCAATTCAAATATTGGGCTGATGATTTATATCTGCTTCCCGCCAAATATTTTCCTTTTCATTTCAATGCCACTGCTTCAAACACATCAGAGAAGAACAGTGCTGTTTAACAGAGGACAAGACAATTCTGATTCTTAAATTATTTAGTTTCTCTTCAGAATTCAAGATGATTGGTTGTGTTTTTTTTTTTCCAACCATTCTCAAAACTAAAGCCTCTGAATCTATGCTTCTGTCCTTCTGATTTTTGTTAGAGCGGTGTGATATATTACTAGTACAGGGGGTCACAAGTCAGAATCTGTTTCATCGTTTGCTTACTCCAGTGGTAATGGCATTATTAGTAATTAGTTCATCAGATAAATCATTAGTTACAGTGAAAGAAGGAAAGCAAACTGTTTGATTTTTGTACTTTCTGCATTTAGATGTGAATACTGGACGTACTAACACTTTGACTGACCTTATTTTTCTTAGCATATGTGCTGACTTGTGATTGGTATTTTGTTAGATATCACATTCTGTAGTTGTAAATTATAACATTAAGTATGATAAGATGATATAACCATGATTCGTAAGGAAGAGCAATTTGTTGCTGTTGTTGGCATTAATGAACAACGACATCGCGGAAGGGATGAGGAATATAAATTCACTGAGACAGTTTTCCAGCCTACTGCTATTCCTTCTTCTATTTCTCTTCCCGCCTCTTACTATCTTTGGTCCCCATCAGTTATCAATCTGTTAGCTTTTGTGCTCACCTATGAAGTCTTACTTATCATCCATATATAAAATGGACCTACATAATTACTCTGTATCCCAATCTTGAGGGGTTTCATAGTAGTGAATTCCTATATCTGCAATATCATGTTTATATACAACATCTCTTTTATTATTATGTGAAACAAGATGATTTTTAATGATAATCTTGATGATTGTAAAACGATAAAGTTAGATTTTTCAGTTTATTATGCCATCTTTACATAAAATGAATTAATACCTATAGCTGTCATTCGTTTTTGTAGAAACTACTGGTCTAGTTTCCAATTTAATTATCCTATTTACATAGATTTTTGCATTTTCAGATTTTTTTGTGGATTTTCCTGTTGCTCTTCAGTGCTTTTATTTTTGGTGCATGATGATGCAACTTGTATTTGTTCCATGTGTACCTTTGTTTTTGCACTCTGGAAATGTTGGAATTGTACAACCTTATTTGTAATATGGTTTCTTATGTTATCATTTCTACTTCTGCAGGGTTCTAAGGTTCAGTTCACATCTGCAACTCAATGTACATATCCCCGGAGTCCAGCTCTGGGTCTTGGTTTGACTGCAGCTGTGACTCTTACGATAGCTCAAGTAATTATCAACGTTGCAACTGGGTGTATTTGTTGCAAAAGAAGCCGGCATAGTTCAAACTCAAATTGGACAATAGCTTTTGTCTGCTTTGTTATTTCCTGGTAATTCTTACTGGCCATTTGCTGTTTAAACTTCTAATTCAGGTTTACATATTCCATTCTTGGGGTTAACATTTACAGATTCCTTTCATTGTCAACACCTTTAGTCCTTTGCCATTGTGTTTAGAAGCCTTCTGACAGCTTTCCTACTATGATGCTTTAGATGTAAAACCAAATAAACTAGAAGCAGTCATTTTAATGTTAGATCATTCAGTTTCTGATTTCCAGTGAACACATCAACAAAAACTAACTTAAGACTTGATGGTTAGTGACATGGGTCACGTCTAATGATATCATATATTTAGCATCCTTTTTTTTTTTTTTTTCTTATAACATACTTCTGCAATTATACTCTCTCTTTGGGGAGCTTGTTTACTTAAAAATTTCTCATACCTAAATGCACTGTCATATCTTCTTGAATTGTTAAAATAATAATAATAATAATAATAATAATTTTAATACTATTCATAACTAATTAAAAAATACAGTATTTTATACACACTATTACACAGTATCATAACTTTTGGTATAATTTGATTTGTTTCTTGTTTTTTAACCCATCTATGCATTGATATTGTATTGATGTAGATTATGTGAAGCGTGGATGAATTGCTTATTGATTCCTAGTTGAGCTGGAGTTTGATGTTCATGGTGCATTAAGATATTAAATTAAAAGGATGATTTATTAAAAGGTAGCAGAATACCGTATAAGTCTGCATGATGTGAGTATTTTTATACAAGATACTTGTGTTAGTGGATCCTTTTTCCTTAATTTAAATATTAATTTAATGAAGTTATCGACATAAAAGGAGTCCATGATCTTTATTGAATTTCGAACTTCTTCCCAAAGAATTTCTGCTAATATACCACAAATCATGCATAGTATATAATTGCCCTAGTTTTAGATTTAGATGTTGCAATACATTCTGAATTCAAGTTTTTCCATTTTACAATTACGAGGACTTCTTTGAATGGCCTGAAATGATCCTGATACAGGAAAGCTTGTAATTGAAGACCTTCGAAGTCTCATTTTCTTCGAGTCCTCTTGCTTGAATCTAGGACACTACACCAACTATTATATTACCTGTTAATCAACTTATGGTTTGTTTGGAAAGCTAAGAATAGTGTAACAATTCTCATGTTGGGAAGGATGTTGAAATGAATTGAATATGCTTAGACATGAGAATGGTGGGAACCATTTGTACAAAGTTTGATCAAGTATTTATACGTATAAATTTACTTTTTTTTACCTTGTAAATTCAACGATTAAAAAGACATGTTTATGTTCGACATTTATTTCAATTATATTAAGGGGTAGTAGCTGAGTCTGTCCTTATATAATAAAGTCATTGTCCAATCTGTCCTTTTAATTTAAAATGTCAATTATGTCCTTTTATTTTAAGTGAATTTTCAATATGTCCTTCTGATGAATTTTTCCGGCTAAATTATTAGAAAAGGTCACATGACTTATACATGACTATTTTCTTTTTCTAAAAATGCCCCTCAGCTAAACGTGTGCAAGTCACTTTTTTAGGGACATTTTCAGAAAAAAAAATTAGTCATGTGCAAGTTATGTGATTTTTCATGTTGTTTGGTCAGAAAAATTTACCTTAAGGACATAATTGAAAAGTCACTTAAAATACAAGAACATAATTGACTTATTTTAGGATATAAAGACATATTGGACACTGATCCTATTATATAAGGACAAACTAAGCCATATACCCTTATATTACTTAAATTCTAATAAGGGTTTGTTTGGTATTGTTGTGCTATCTGGTTTATGTTCCATTGTGAGTTTAAAACTATATTAATAGAAGTAGTGTATGATAATTGACAATGCTTCTAAAAAATTAGAATATATTGTTTCTTAAGAAAATAGTAGACCCCATAGTAAATTTCGAAGCTTTTTGTTAAAAGAAGGTGGTACCTTGTTATCATTCAAAAGCAAAGCAATTTTATTTTAAAGCCTTAGGTGCTTTACTTTCAAATTTAGCCAAACACTGTTTTTGACCAAAAGCAAGTAAAAACATTAAAGCACAACAATACTAAACGAGCACTAATTCTTACTTATATCTAATATGTAAATGTAATACATAGTTTGCTTCAACTGAATTCTACTAATTCAATTTAATTCTTTGCTGATAAAAAGTTGATACACAATTAAGCCCATGATCTTACCTTTATCCAAGAGATGCCACTAGGTTTTAAGGGAACTTGCAATATTGGGAAAGCTTTACTTACTAGAACTCTTGAACCACTCGAAACATGCACATGCATGCTCAAACAAAAATACATGCTCATACAATACTGTCTTCATACAAGGGAAGTAGACAACATATTGCAATTCAGTTCTGCTTAAAGATTTATTTCAAGCAAGCTGTTACCCCCCATCCATCACACTAACATAACATTCCATGCACTTGGTGAATTTTCCAGTCTCTCAACACAACAACCGGTATTCCTAATCCTACCTGCCATGACATTTGAGCTCCCTGGATATTGTTTGTTCCTCCCTCAACTTTCTCTATCTCTATATTTATATGCAACATTATTTCTCCCAAATGTTTATTTATCAATAATTCCTGTAAGTAATCCAACACTTTCTTATCTAAATCTGAGTTGATAAAAAGCATATATGTTCGGATAGGTGGAAAAAAAAATAAAAAGTAAAAAGTAAAACTTGAGAATGTTGTACTAAACTAAAGGTAACCACTTAAAATGGAAATCTTTTGTTTCGTTGGGAAATGACATTGGGTTCAACATGCACATCTGTACATGCATGTGCACACACAAACATGCATAAACCTACTGCATGTTATACTTTAATGTGTTCTATTCATAATGATCGATTTGATAATACATGCAGGTTCACATATGTTATAGCATTTCTTTTGTTGTTAACTGGGGCTGCCCTCAATGATCAGCATGGTGAAGAGAGTTTGTACTTTGGCAATTATTACTGCTATGTCGTAAAACCTGGGGTCTTTGCAGCTGGTGCTGTCTTGGCCTTTACAAGTGTGACCCTTGGCATTCTTTATTATCTCACCTTAAATTCTGCTAAGAATGGTGATGATCCATGGAAAAATCCTCCTGTTTCTAATCAAAGTGGCATAGCCATGGGACAGCCCCAGTTTGCACCACAGAGCACCCAAGAACCTGTTTTTGTACATGAAGATACATATGTGAGAAGGCAGTTCACTTGATTGGTAATTCCTCGACCTGCCTTTCGTATTGCGCTGCTGATGTCTTGGAAAATATGTTCGTATCGGTCTTGAAAGTTCATCTTGGCAGCAGCACATTGTTGGGAAGGGTGGGTTTTATGGGGTCGTGTCCAATTTTCTTTGCTTGCAGTTGTGCATTGACCTTTATTTCATGTGTTTTCATGATCAAACTCACAAACTGTTCGTGTATATATTTATATTATGGAAAGGGTCCTCTATGATTGTGATTCTTGTGTGATAATCGATAGGGATTTAGGAAAAAATGTGAGATAAGGCACTGTCATCAGAACGTAATTAATTAATACATTAAGTTGGGAGAGCCACTCTTCGCTGGCAATATCTTCTCAATTCTCTCCTTTTGCCTTCATGGACGCAAACATTGTCGCAAATGTACTGTTGGTGATATTCCAATTCTGGACCAAGCACCAACCAGGCCCAAGCCCAATATTTGGAGGGTGTACTTCCGTATGCCTAAAACTGGCTAGTTTTGCTGAAGGGCCCAAGGGGTTTTACGTATTGGATAGGGATTATTAGGAGGAAAGGTCACATGAGAGTCACTCCATGTTTTTTCTAGAAGTATTTGTCTTTAACTTGGAGCGAAGGAAGCCATCTTTCCTCTAGCAGGGGAGCTCTGCTCTCGTATTGTGATTTGTTTTCTCGTCAATTAAATCGCTAGTGCAATTTCAATTAGGATTCTGGGTTCCTAACAAATTGGTGTTTTCGTTGAGAGATTGAAGTGGACTGTATAGTGTGCGAACGAGAAAGGTGAACATAGTCGACGCCATTGAAGCATGGGTATCAGTGCTGGAGTCTACGATGAAGTCTCAGGCATATTCGGCAAAGAAAACTGTGGCGTTGGTAACGGATCTCGATGGGAAACTGGATTTTATGATGACAAATGTGGTAGAAATCCAAAAATGAATTGCAACGTTGCATGTCAAAATGAGCTCAGGTGTTTACTAGAGAGGATCCTTTAGGTTGGGTTTTTAGAGCACAGACGTATTTCTCTATACAAGGCACTGTACTAGAGATATGGATTTCACTTGCCCAAATCTGCATGGATGGTCCAACTATCCATTGGTTTAATGCTTTGAGGGTTACAGACGACAGTCTTGATTGGGAGACATTTAAATGAGCACTATTCGATCGATTTAGGAGCCAACAAGTGGGCAATTCGTACGAACAACTGAAAAACATTAAACAACAAGGGTTGATCGATGAATTTGTGTAAGAGTTTGAGGAGTTGATTTCCCAAGTCTCACGGTTACCTGAAGAGCAATATATGGGATCCTTTATGGGAGATTTTAAGGATGAAATCTAAAGGAAAGTCAAGAACCATGACCCCTCTACAAGGCATCGAATTGTTACGGTGGCTCGAAACGTGGAGAGAGAGAGAGTTGAGAGGTGAAGGACTTTTTAAATAACCTTCCAACTAGGGGGCAAGCCTATGGGAAATGGGGTGGGCCTTAGTCAAGTTTAAGGTGCGTTTGTTTCAGGGAAAACAAGTTATGTTTGTTTAGTTATCATAGAAAAAGTCAATGAAATATATTTTCCATCAAGAAAAATTGAAAGGTAAGTGTTGGAAAAGTGACTTCCCAAATAACGGAAAAATATTCTCTCTTGAGAGTGCCCGTACCTATTCTCACCCAAACTCACATGTTCCATTCGTTGCTCGAAGCCAACCCAAGGATATCTTCACCACCTAACGCCGTCACAACAAAGCTAACATCACCGTCGAGCAAACAAAGCTTGCAAAAGAACGATTAGATTTGTTGTGATTTCTCTCAATATTATCCGATTTGTACGATTTTTGTGTGTCTTTCTCCTTTAGATCCGATTTCTTGTAATATTGTCCGATTTATTTGTTTGTGCATCTTCCTCTTTGGGTCTCGTCATTTCCCTTTATTGCTCCTTATAAACTACTGCTATGTTTTTTAGATTTTCAAAACCAAAGATTGGATTATTGAGATAACTAGATTAGTAAATTTTTGAATTTATTCATCTTATTAATGGGTTGTTGGTTGTCCATTTATATACCCAAAATTGTATCCCGAAAAAGCATCAATCACATGAATTGAGGACTGATTCCTAGTGAAAAACTTATGTAGGGAGAAGACTTCATCTCCAATGTAAGAAAGGCTAACCGAAGTGCGAGTTTGGTCCGAATATGTGCGTATTAATTTTGGGAGTCTTGTTGAAAGTCGGTTAGTGATAGTTTGTTTCCTAATTTGTTTCCAACTCTGTAACTAATTTACGTATCTTACACGAATTTAAGCCTACTTTAAAGCATTAAAACTCGCTCCGTTAGGAGTTGACTTCTTCACAAATACCGTAGGTTTGTGTCTTAGCTTTCCGGAGAGTCCAAGAATGCACCATTCTAAGGTCCGTAGCTTCAATTATGACCCAAAAACCAAGTAGTGCTCAATCTAAAAGAATAAAAAATCTAAACAAATATGAACTAATTTTGCCTAATTGATAACCTCTATAAATTAGCCCAAATTACTCAATCTAAGAAAATCTTTGTAGAGTAAAGTAGAGCAAAGAGCTCTTGATTCACTTTGATGGATTAAGAGAATTGAGGGACCAAGCGTGAAACTTTGTTTAGAGGTTTTTTGTTAATTTCAAAACCTAATTATGGATTTTGATTCACTCGTTGGTTTTGAATAGTAGTTCACAAAAGGAAACCAGTGAATTCTCCTTGGTAATTTCCTATTTTTGTTTCATGTTTTGAGATAAATTGCACAAATTTTTAAGCTTTTCCTTCTATTTTTATTTTGTCCGTATAAAAAAAGATAAAGCAATTGAGCTTGCTTTGAGTTGTTGTAGAAAGAGCTTGCTTTTGTGTGTTTCATTATTTAGTTTGATTTCTTGCTATTGTTTGGTTGCAGAGAAATTATGTGGGAAAAGAAGGGAAATAGACTGTTTGATCAAACAATGGCAACAATCAACAACCTATAGCACGTCCGCGGTTAAAAGAAGAGCGAGATAACTTAGTTTGTCCGAGTTGGCATCATAGGAAGAAGATAACAACAAAAGTTTATCACGAATTAGGGAATGGATGTAACATCTTTACTTGGATCCCTTTTTCATGCTTGAGGCCATTATTTTGATGAAGGCGTCCATGTCATCGACTACTAATATACAAAAGATAAAGCAATATCAAAAGAGATAGGGAGAAAACAATATGAAGCGAAATTTCTTATTGCATGTAAAATAGTACATCGGACACACTTCCTTGAAATTTTGTTCTATGCATTCTTTTGTACATGGAAATATGAAGATTAACGTTTTGTATTATTGGTTTACCAATTCAAGCATCCGGAATTTCATGTTTGACATCTCTCTTTTTTACTTTTGTGTTGATATTCATTATTTGAAAGTAATGTCAATGAATTCCTTTTCCACTTTGTATCCTTTTCTATTGGTTTAGCTTTGATATTTTCGGAGAGTTTAGCATAAAAGTTTTGCGGTTCCTGAACTTTATGTTATGGAAGAAATTACCACATCAAGCCAATACATTACGTTTTTTGCCTTTTTTTTTTTGTAATTTTAGCAATTTTTTTTCTATTTTTGCTATAATAATCTTTGAGTTGTCATATTAAAAAATTTCAAATCAAATTTATATCCTTTACTTATATTAAAATTCATCTCATCAAATTTTTATGAAAAAAAAATTTAAGTATTGTTATTTCACAAAATAGCACTTTATTATTTATTAGTTTAAGTTTATGAATTTTAATATAAAAAGTTCAACAAGATTAACTTTCTTTTTTTCTCATGTTGAAAAAAAAATGATTCTACTAAAAAATACCAATAGGAACATGTTAAAAAAGTTAATATATATATATATATATATATATATATATATATATATATATATATATATATATATATATATATATATATTGGCATGGCCATATTATACATAGGAATTTTGTACAAAATCAAGAAAAGCAAAACTTGAAAATGCACATGGTGGGTTTGTAATCATGAAATTGTAGTAATAGTTATTTGTTTTTGTATTTTTATTTTTTGTATCAAACAAACACCGAAAAATATTTTCCAGCAGCTTTTTCATGTAATTGTCAAATGTTAGAAAATATTTTTTAGGAAAATAACTTCCTCGAATTACTTTTCCTAGTGGAAGTTATTTTCCTCCAAACAAACATAGCCTTAGATAAGTAATTATATGGATTTGAATACTTGGCTAGCAATAGATTAAGATGATCAAATAACTAGTATGCACTCTAATCAATTTAATCATATAACCATAATCAAATCACATAGACAAAAATAAAATATTCAAGTAAGATAAGTTTAGAATTAAAACTCGTAATCTCACAACGATTTAACCAAAAACTTCAACTTCATTCAACCAAGATGGATGTTTAGTTGTTCATAGTTGATTACAAAGAAGGATTTTCTACCTATAGTGGTTGCTCAAAGTTGGAATCATAAAATAAAGCCCTAACATCACCACTTATAGCTAAAAGTCGAGTTACATCACATATGTGTTAGCCTCACATAGCCATATGGATTGCTTAGGAAAGTCATACAATTTACTATTTAACCTCACATGGTTTATGCCTTAAAGAGTTGGTGTTAAATAGTTTACTAGATATAGGCACACGATCGTGTGCCTTTGTTCTTCATTTTATGTGACTTTATTCTTCCAGGTGTGGACTTTTTCTAGCTTTGTGAGACACGAATGTGTCTCTCTTTAGTGCATTCCAAGTGGAATGTCTTCTACCTATATGCTTCTTCTTTCTTCTTAGAAGGCAATTCAACTTGACACACATACAAGCATGTTGGATTCCTTGCCTAAGTCTTATGGTAGGCTTCTACCCATGTGGTGCTTCTTGCTGGTTAGCCACACGATTTCTTCACATGTCACACGGTCGGTAGCTATTTTTCTTTATAAGTGGCATAGTTGTATGAATCTTCTAAGCCTCCTTGGTGAATTTTTCTCTCCTTACTTTGGT